TAAGGAGAACTTTAGCAACAAGTCACTGACCCACCATCTTGAAGTAATGGACGAATTGGTGAGAAGAGATAAAAATAGACCATCAGTTATTATGTGGTCTGTAGCCAATGAACCAGCCTCTGAGTATCCCCAGGCAGAGGCATATTTTAAGTAAGTATCATGTGGAGATACAGTCCAGTAATGAGTATATTTAATGAGTGACCCATGATATCTGGGGGGGGGGGGGTTGAGAATAGGGTTTCACACTTATCTCAACTCTTACCCTAACAAGCGTAAAGTTCAAGGCACGTAAAACAAGGGACTGACAATCAAACAAACAGGAAACAAATAAATGATATATCAAATAACTGCTTTTATTACTTGTCACTGGAAAGGGTTACATGTACATGTACTTGCGCGCCAAAACAAGTATTCAGTCCTTTTATAGCCTTGGTAGGATCAGCCATCATAACAAATTTTAGCGGGCTTGGTGCTGATTGGTTCATAGTTCTATGAGCTATGATTGGTTAATAAGAGAATAGCATTGAAATGGTGTCTGCTATCGTTATGTGTGCTAGTTCTCTTCAAGTTAAGCATGTAATAAAGACGATTGAATTGAATAAACACAATAACAATATAAGAAATTCAAGAAAGCACTTAAACACAAATGAATAGTATTGAATTAAAAATACGAATGAATATCACAGTAATAATTAGGGAAATAATAGTGGATTATTCTCCCTCTCATCGACAATATCAGACAAGCCTTTGACATGAAATATATGACAACTATGACAACTATGACACAAGAGAACGTCAGGAGAGATTGTCAGTTGGTGATGTCATAGTTTCAAATTGCATGTTGATAATATTTGTGATACTGGGGATGTGATATCAAGTCAGTTTTGAATGTTTCATGTGAATACATGACTTAAATTCTTCTCCAAAGTTTATTTATCCTGTTACTGCAACTTAGCCTTTTCACCATCAGTTACTTTTTTTCATTACAAATTCACAAAATGGTCTGCACTTTCCTTCAGATTTTAATTGAATCATAGTGTATACATTTTGTTTATTTACCAGTATCTAGTTAAGGTTCAGAAATGATTGTTTGTTGGCCATTCAGTAAACTTTAAAATCACTTCATACATGATCACATTTTTAAGCATCTCTTGTGTCCTACCCATTTCTCAGTTACACCAATTTTAAATTTGATACAAAAGCAAGACATAATGGCTTGTATATTCTCTTCAATTGATATAAATTTTCAATGAAATTTAACTTACTGAAAAACTCTAAGCATGACATTTCTGTGCCATAACTGTGGCAAAACTCCAGCACACCCCAGCAAACCCCTGCAAACCCCTGACATACCCCTGGACTAAATCGCTATATGTACATGTTACAACACAGGCTCCAATAGGACTGTTGCTATTTCCCACTGCAGCCAATCACAAACCCCAAGCAGATCAAAATCAAGCATTTCTGCCATTCTGGAATCCATTCTCAGTCATGCATGGACAAATATACTTTTCAATTTTTTTTACATACAATGAACAAAATGGGATCTTGACACATGTCAATTTGTTTGTCGGTTTCAAAATGGCTGACGGGTGGCCATTTAGTTTTAACAAATGCTGTTTCAGAGCCTGACCTCTGACCTGCCTTGACTGATTGGGATATAACTTTACAAATATGTTAGACATCTTGTTATGTATATTCGCATGCATTTGTTTCTGAATTAAATTTAAGGAGTTCTGACTCCTTTCAGGATTGTATACCATGCCAGACCAGGACGAGCTGTGCCTATGTCTTGTTATTTTCAGGACCAGAAACGCATTATTTTATGCGGCCTAATTTACAAATATGGTATACCTTTGTTGTTTAATTTCTCCAGAACTGTCATCACTCATACGCGGCAAATTGATCCCAGTTCAAGACCAGTAACATTTGTATGTAACCATGGATATGATTCTGACCTTGCTGTAAGTGTCCCAGCATGCGTAATTTACTTGTATCAAGTCAAAGTTCCCAAAAAAAAAAAAAATTTACAATGTCATTTGCATGTGCTATAGAATCCTACCTTGTCCCATACAGCATTAAAGCACTATGGGACAAGGTACAAATTATAGTTATTATTTTTCACGTTTCAGACATTGTTATAATTCTTAACTTTCTCATTATTAGAACTGTCATAAGTCAGACAAAACAAACTGATCCAACGAGACCAGTCACATTTGTTATGAATTCAGATAATGATTTGGAAAGAATATTTGATGAAGCTGTAAGTTCTTTTTCATTCTGCTGTTAACTTGCTCTTGGCCTACGATTTAAACTAATTGTACCAAAAACTGCCTGAGAGTGCTTGGTAGCAGAGTTCTAGAAATTTATAATCTAGATACAACCTAATGCAAAACAAATTCATGTAATTGCTCCAATAATTATGGGATACATAATTAAAAAATAATGAAGAATATATATGCATGTGCATTTGTTTTGCGATCTGATTCGAGGCTTTAAAATCAATCATTTTTGCCATTTCGGGACTGTATCTTAGTCATGTATAAACCAATTTTGTTACAGACACCAAGCATTATGTAATTTTGTTTTTCAGATCATATTAAATATGGCCGACTAGTGGCCGTCTTGATTTATCATATCATACTATTCCTGAGCAGATCAAATTATACAAATACATTATATCGTGCATCTATTCATTTTATGATCGGGTTAAAGATAGCCAAATGCTAAAAGTTCTTTGAAATCAAGCATTTCTGCAATTCCAGAACCAGATCTTGGTAGTGTATGGATGGACTTTGTGGAATCTTACTTCATACATTGAACATCATGTGACCTTGATGCACGTTATTTTGTTATTCAAATTGGATGCAAAATCTGGTGGCCATCTTATTTTAATGATTACAGTTCTGAAGGCTCTCTGACATGCTGACTGTTCATGTTCAAACTTTACATATTTCTTAAACTTAATAACTCACAAGAACTATGTATTGTAATTCAAATTCATTGAAGATTGGTTTTGTTGAAGAAAAATTCTCCAAAACAGAAAAGAAAAACATTTTCCCATTACACAATATGTGACACACTTTACCTGTATGCAAAATTGAAATGCTTGAGTTGCATGTTTCAAATTGACACACATGATAATGAGGAGCATTATAATGATTTTATAATTGGGTTATGTTTTAGTGCTAGTAGAGTACGGCTATTATTTATAATGAATTGATAACTGTTCTGTTTGACTGCATAGACCCAGTTTGTTGATGTGGTATGTATCAACAGTTACTTTGGCTGGTATGAAGACACAGGACATCCTGAAGTAATCCAACTACAGTTAGAATATAACCTACGTGAGTGGTACAAAAAACGAAATAAACCCATTATACAGACTGAATACGGTGCTGGAAGTGTTATTGGAATACATCTGGTGAGTTGCAATATTTGGCTGGAGTAAACAGTTATTTGATTGGTTGATTTTAAGCTGACATTTGATTGGTTGATGTTTGACACTTTTCCCCACTGATGGGGTTATCTGTAGGTTATAATTATAAATAAAGTATTTCTTTTATCTAATACTAGTTATTAATTTGATTGGTTGCAGAGTCTTTATTTACAAGATTTTGACTTGCCTGATTGTTAGTCATTTATAAAAAACAATTTGGCTATTAATGAGGTAAATATAACTATTGCTTGGTTACAGGATCCCGGCATGGCTTATTCTGAAGACTATCAAGTTGATGTCCTCAAGGAACACTTCAAGATTTTTGACAAATTAAGAAAAGAGTTTCTTGTAGGAGAGATGATTTGGAACTTTGCTGATTTTATGACGGCTCAAGGTTAGAAAATGAGGGTTTGTCAATTGGGACTTTGCTTAGAAAGTACTTGTTTGTTATCTGTGTTTATTTGAACTGCAAGTCACATATTTTTTGATGAAATTAAGAACTAGACAGTTGACTTTTTTTCGTCTTTGATTTGCAATAGTTAAAGGGGCACTTCCAGTTAAGCCTAATCTCACAACAAATTTACTTTCGGGAATAAAATTACAATGGATAACAAAAAATAGATTAACTTTGTAAACAACATAAACAATAGTTTCCCATGATTCTTTGGTGCAATCCCTGGGCTTGGAAGGTTCCTCTTTAAAGATACACCGTTTCACATGTGTGTACAATACCGGATATGGGGTACAATTAACTTGCACATGTGGGAGACTGACATATTTATATTTGATGGCATGAAAAAGCAGGTGTTTTGCTATCACCTTGGTATCACTACTTTCAGGAAAGTGGTCTATACCATATCCCATAATAATCCTGATACTAGATTTCTACCTTGTGAAGGCAGTATACAATCTTAGATACACCACATGACCAAACCTCTTCAACCTGACATTCAATAAACAAAATTAATTAATGAACATATATTATCACTCATAAACATTTATAAAAAAAATAATGAAAATAATTTTAAGATAATGTATTACATTTATTAAAATAACTTAATATTTTATTATTTTCTTGGTTTTATTTTTTCATAGTCCTGATCTCATATGACAGAACCCCACACCCTGCCCGTGGCTTTCGTTG